TCATAAGGAAGCTAGGTAAAGGAGGAAATACTGGACGGAGTGGGGGCAATTGTGAAGAAAGAAGTGTTTGGGAGGATGGGAGCTTTCCAGAATCCTAAAGCCAGCCCTGTTAACTTCTAGAGTTTATGGCTGCTCTGCCCTGGAGTTCAGACTACGGGGATGTCAATAGCAGAGGTCACCAAGCGCATGGCTACTCTTGCAGATGTAGAGCGTTGTGAGTTAAACCATTCCTCAGAGACCACAGCAGGGAAAGCGCTGCAGTGTGTTCACTCTGTCAGCTGCAAGCGCACTGGTGTGGCCACATTTGTGGCACTTGCAGTGGCATTGGGAGCAGTGCATTATGGGCAGCTATCCCACAGAGCACCTCTTCTCATTCTGGCGCTGTAGCTTGTGGGAAGGGGGCGGGAAGTGCGGGGTATTCTGGGTCCTGTCCCAACGCCAGGCTTGCAGCACCAATCAGCTGTTTGGCGCCGCAAGCCTGGGAGGGGAGGAGAATTAGAGTGGGGGCGACGTGCTCGGGGAGGAGGTGGAGTAGAGGTGAGCTGGGGTGGGGAGCTGCTGCACGGCTCTCGGGGGGGAGCTACTGCTGGGGGGTGGCCTCAGATTGGGGGTTGGGGAGCTGCCGCAGAGCTGGGGGGGGGACGCAAGGTGCACCGGCCCTACATCCCAGCAATCCCTATGCTTCAGTCCACATTTGATGCCACCTTTCACTGTTTTTTGTACTGCGTGCTCTGTCTTCCCTTTCGGTCTGCCGGAATGGATCCCGAACTGCTGAGGAATATGCTGATGGGTCTCGCCAGCATGTCACGAATTGCAGTCGAGTTACTCCTTAAGCTACAAAATGACAGTGAGGAGTCCTAGGATGATGTCGACTCACATAACGCATACGACACGAGCAGTGGCGAAGCCAGGTTTTAACAGCAGGGGTAGTGAACAAATAAAAACAGGCGCCACTCGCCACCATGAAGAAGAAAAAAAGAAAAAAGAAAAAGAAAACCCCCGACTGACCCGGAGTGGCTGAAGGACCCGCCACCAAAGTGCCACTGAAGACTCGGAGTGGACTCGGAGCGGCTGAAGGACCCACTGCCGAAGTGTCACCGAAGACCCGGAGCACCGCCGGGTGAGTAAAAGTGCCGCTGAAGACCCAGAGCACCGCCGGGTGAGTAAAGATTAAAGATTAAAAAGGTGCCACTTTTCTGCTCAGTGGGAGTGGATGCTCCCCCTGCTCCTCCCCAGCTGTGCTACTGGACACGAGATTGCTTGTGGCATTCATGGACATGCTCACCACTGTGGAACGCCGCTTTTGGGCTCAGGAAACAAGCACTGAGTGGTGGAATCACATTGTCATGCAAGTCTGGGATGACGAATAGTGGCTGCAGAACTTGCGGATGAGAAAAGCCACTTTCATGGGACTGTGTGCTGAGCTTGCCCCCACCCTGCAGTGCAAGGATATGAGATTGAGAGCTGCCCTGCCAGTGGAGAAGCGGGTGGCTATTGCAATCTGGAAGCTGGCAACTCCTGACAGCTACCGATCAGTCGCTAACCAGTTTGGAATGGGAAAGTCAACCATTGGAATTGTGTTGATGCAAGTTTGCAGGGCCATTAATCGCATCCTGCTCAGAAGAACCATGACTCTGGGTAATGTGCATGATGTTTTGGCTGGCTTTGCACAAATGGGTTTCCCCAACTGCGAAGGGGCGATAGATGGAACACATATTCCAATTCTGGCACCAGCCCACCTAGCCTCCGAGTATGTTAATCGGAAGAGGTATTTCTCTATGGTGCTTGTGGATCACCGTGGGCATTTCATTGACATTAACGCAGGCTGGTCTGGAAAGGTGCATGATGCGCACATCTTTTGGAACACAGGCCTGTTCAGGAAGCTGCAAGCTGGGACTTTCTTCCCAGACCAGATCACCGTAGGGGAAGTCGAAATGCCCATTGTGATACTTGGAGACCCCGCTTACCCTTTAATGCCGTGGCTCATTAAACCCTACACAGGGAGCCTTGACAGCAGCAAGGAGCGGTTCAACAACAGGCTGAGCCAGTGCAGAATGACTGTGGAGTGTGCTTTTGGCTATTTAAAGGGTCGCTGGCACTGTCTGTATGGGAAGCTGGACCTGGCCGATGACAACATCCCCACAGTTATATCCGCGTGCTGTACCCTCCATAACATTTGTGAAGGGAAGGGTGAAAGATTCACTCAGGCATGGACCTCGGAGGTTCAACACCTGGAGGCTGAATTTGAACAACCAGAGAGCTGGGCTATTAGAGCTGCCCAGCACGGGCCTGCAAGGATTAGGGATACTTTGAGGGAGCAATTTGAGGCTGAAAGCCACCACTAATGTTTGGGTGCCCTGCACAGGAGTAAAGTGCAGTGGTTCCAATGTTAGTAGGAATCTGTTTGCTACGTATGATGCACTGACTTGCAGTGCCTGTTGCTTTCATGGGCTACGGTGTCTTTTACTTAATGCAATAATAAAGAATGTTTACAAAGCCAAAAAAACAGAAAGGGCATGACACACCTATGCTGTGTGGGAGGAGGGAAGGGGGTGTGGTGGGGAACGGGACCATCACAGATTTGCGTATGTGCTGTTATCATACTCAGCCTTCCTGCCTGGAGTGCTGTGCAATGAGTGTTGCACTTCAGGCTGGCTACAATGCATGGTGATAGGGGTTGAGTGCAGTGAGTAAGGGTCGTAGTTTGCAGGGCTGGATGGTGAAACTACAGGTGTTGGAGGCAGCTGGTGGCAATAAGAACCCAGATGTTGGGGAAAGTGGGTTGGCGGGAACATGGGGGCACAAGGGAAAGAGTTTTGGGACAAGGGCTTCAGGGGCAGGCGGGCATGGAAGTGCTCCACCTGCATTGCTACGAGCACCTGTATCGAGTCCGTTTGGCGCTCCATGATGCTTAGCAGCTGCTCCGTGCTTTGGTGCCGGCGATCCGCATTCTGCTGGCCGACCCTCCTTTCAGTCTTCTGCCACTCCTGCACTTTTTGATTTTCATTAAGGGACTATTGCATGACTTCATGCAGCATGTCCTCTTTGCTTTTTCTCATCCGCTTCCTGATTCTTTGGAGTTTTTTGGCCGTTGATAACAAGGACGGCTGTGATCTCAAGATTGCATCTGTAAAGCCAAAATGCAGCACTTAACAGAGGCAGCATTGTTCACACCAGACAGAGCAAGTATGATTCAGCCATACTTAAAGACAAGCACAGTGTACACAATAGCAGAAATTGCCCGTCCCAAAGCGAGCTCACATAACCCACAGGAGCCCCAAAATAGTGAGTAAGCACAGGGGCAAGGGGACTGATTGTTTCATGGCTGTACTGTCCTCTGGTGTTCTGTGCCTTGGGGAGAGCCAACAGCTGCAGGGGGCCCCTATACTGAACACTGTCCCCACATTTTCCACATGAGTTCGTCCTGGAAGATATCTCACTGCTGAGGGTGACCGGGGAAGCAAGGGAGGCTCTTCTACTACAATGCAGCTTCTGCCCTGGCCCATATGCAGCTTGCCTGTGTGCAGCAATGGTCCCCCCGCCCCACACAGCACAGTGCGCGGACATGTTAGCCTTACTGGGACAAGGAGCACAGTAGCTCTGCCAAGGAACCTGCGCAAGCGCATTGTCCAGCTTCTGCATGAGACCTTTGAAGAAATCACTGAGGCCGATTACTGTGATGTGAGAGAGCACATCAACTCCCTATTCCGCATCTAGGCCTGCATGCAGCCCTAACTCTCCTGACCCCAAGAGCCTGCACCGAACAACTTCATTCCCAAAATAAAAGCTGCTTACCGGGCACCTCCTCTGGTGTTTGTCCTTCCGCAAGCACCGTCCGCTGCGACTGGCTACCTTCCTCCTGACTTGAGAACAGCTCCTGGCTGCATGCATCTAGGGATGCCGGGCTGTCTCCCTCCTCCTCAGCACCCTCACTCCTGCTTTCCTCCTCCTCCTCCTCCTCCTACCTTGTTGAACTTGGCTCTGAAGTGTCCATGGTGGTCTTCAGAATGGAGGTGGGGTTGGCCCCAAGTATTGCGACCAGCTCTTTGTAGAAATGGCAGGTCATGGGGGCAGCACCAGAGCAGCTGTTTGCCTTGCGCGCTTTGCGGTAGGCATTCCGCAGCTCCTTCACTTTAACCCTGCACTGCAGTGCGTCCCGGTCATGGCCCCTTTCCATCACGTCCCTTGATATCTGCCCGAAGGTATCGTAATTCCTACGGCTGGAGCGCAGCTGGGACTGGACAGCTTCCTCCCCACAACACTGATGAGGTCCAGCACCTCACCATTGCTCCATATTGGGGATCACCTGGTGCATAGAGGCATGGTCACCTGGAAATATTCACTGAGAGCACTCCACGCCTTGATGAGCAAACAGGAAGGGGATTTTCAAAACTCCCAGAGAATTTAAAGGGTGGGTCTGACGGTTGGTCACCTGAGGGCAGGGCAATAGAGTTCAAAGTGATGACTAGAGTGACTAGAACAGGCATTGTGGGACACTTCTGGAGGCCGATCAGAGCACATTAATAGACCAGGGCGTCCACACTGGCGCCTCGACGCTCCAGCCAGGGCACAGCAAGCGTTATGCTTCTCATGGAGGTGGATTACCAGGAGCGCTCCAGCCGCAGAGTCCAGGCGCTCTACATGCCTTGCCAGTGAGAACGCGTCATGAGTTAGAGTGCCCGGAGCTGCTTTAATGCGCTCTAACTCACAAGTGTAGCCATTCCCAAAGTGCTGTGCTGTTACTCCTCTGAGTGGATACTGCAGATGAGAGCTAAAAGGTTCCTAGTTTGTGTTAACTTAGTCTTCTTGAAACAGCACTTCATTGATGCAAACGGGGACGAGGACTAAGTTTATGAATTAACGTGAACTAGGAACTTTTTATTTTGGCCTGCAGTGTCCACTCAGGAGAGTTACAGCACAGTACTTTGGTGTGCACTGCTATTCATGCCCCTGTAGGGCAGTGTAGACAAGCCTTAAGAACAGTGTAAGAATAAAGATGTCTTGATTTTGTGGAATGCTGAACCATTCAGATAACAGATTTCTCTTTTACTAGATTATTAAACTACCATGGTATTCAGATGAGCAGAAGACGTACGAGACATGTCTCCAGCTCTCACCTGAATTTCTTGCTTATTCAAACATTACTGAGAAGAATGGAGATTCAGACAAGATAAAAATATCTGGACCACAAGATGATGGATTCAGAAGTTCATGTCTACATCCAGGCACTCACTCAAAATGCTCCTTAGCATCTTTTCAAGGTTGGTTAGCCATTACTTTTCTTGCTAAATTAGTATCACCCAGAAATCTTCTCATTAGGTAATATAGATCAGTATGTATTATAGGTGGCACTGTAGCAACCCCTATAATTGTGGCTCGGGGCAGTTTGGGCTGACCCACTGGGTCTGAGCCCAGAAGGCTGGGTCTGAGTCTCCACCAAAGCCACAACATCCATCCTGCTACTGTTTGCACACTAGCTCAATAGCGCTGACATGAGTCTGTCTACCTGGGCTGCAAGGCTTGCTCCCAACTGCAGTGTAGACAGACCCATTGAGTCTTCCGAAGCAGCCTCACTGACCATAAGAATTTAAGAATGGCCATACTGGGTCAGACCAAAGGTCCATCTAGCTCAGTATCCTGCTTTCCAACAGTGGCCAATACCAGGTGCTTCAGAGGGAATGAACGGAACAGGCAAGCATCAAGTGATCCATCCCCTGTCATCCACACCCAGCTTCTGGCAGACAGAGACTAAGGACACTCTTAGCATGGGATTGAATCCCTGACCATCCTGGCTAATACCCTTTGATGGACCTATCCTCCATGAAGTTATCTAGTTTTTTTTCGACCAGACAGCAGACTTTCCTGACTGTGCCCCACCCAAATAGATCCTGCTCCTCCTCCATAAAGACGAGCACGAGAAGGGTGCCAAAGCACTCTGCTGTGTGGCTGATTTTCTAGGTAAGCACGTGGGAGGTGGCTGCAGAGATCAAAGATCATCTTCTTCTTTTGGCAGGCAGGCAGGCACTTCCCTGTGTCGCCTCCGTTAATTAGCTGGAGGCTGCAGCTCAACAATAGCTTGTGCTTTCCGTTTGTGTCTTGTGTGTCTCTTAATCATTAAAGGGTTTGGTTCTTGAACACAAAGTTGCCTTAGTTGTTTGAGAACAGAAAAAGAAGTGTGGGAAGTTGGAAGACTTGGGTGCAGGACAGAGAGGAAGTCGGGAGTCAGAAAAGATGACAACCTGCACGTAAGCCAGAGTCAATTTGTGCAGAATACCAAGAGGTTTAGATTTGAAGAGTGAGGTGAAAAGAAGCCAGTAGGAGCATTTGAGGAAGCAGCTGACATGGAGCAATGGGCAAGGAAGATGAGTTTTGTAGGATAGTTGCCAACTATTATTATTGGGCCACTTTAGAGTCCAGCAGAACTTGTACTGTGGCCCCCGTAGGGATTTATATGGCCTGTGGTATCTGCAGCTGAGAGTGCTTAGACTTATATTAAGTAGGGGAATAAGACCTCTTCACATAATACATATGCAGTTGCCACCTTCCAGAGGCAGACACCTACTCAAGTATGGCATTTGGGTGTGGTATCCAAGATGTACTGCCCCAAGTAATTTATAATTTAGCAAGTAAACCTAGAAACTGGCAAATAATTAACAAACCAAGATCATCCCCACCATTATTATTTCTTCATCTCATGTACATATACACACTGAAAAAAATAGTGCAAGTGGCCAGGTGCCATCACCAGAAACATGCGTGCGCGCACACACACACACACACACACACACACAAAATGTGTCACAAGCTTATCAAAAAAGTTTTGAATGATGTAAGTTTTGAGAACTACAGAGTAGCATTAGTGCATGTGCTGTTCCGTACATAGATCTCTGAAGCAGGCTGATAAGCTGATTGTGGGAGAGCTGTATTCTCCAGCCTGTGTAGATTTCACAACCACAATCTCTAGGAATAATTTTCTACATTGTTTATATTTATTTATTTTTCTTGGAGCCTTCTTTAAAGATATTATTAGCTGTTAATAACCCCCATGGGTTTGTTTTCTAATGTATCTGTGCAGTGCTACAGTATGCTGTTTCTGCTGGTGATATGTTGCTAAGAGATTTAATAATGGGTAAACAAACACAACATGTGGTAATCCATTTCAAATTAAAAGTTTATTAAATGCTAGCTTGATGACTTTCTGGCTATTTACAATTAAAGGAGCAAACCTTAGGGAACTGGAGATCACGTGGTGAAAATCATGACTCCAACATTTCCAACAGAAAAATGTGTTTATGATCTGCGGCAAGCTGTCGCACATTGATATGCGCTATAAATACTGTATTATATCTGTTAAGCTGCAAAGAGCTATGTTCAAGTGACATGAAGGTTGAGACACAAGCCAGAAAAAGCGAGAACATTCTAAATGTAAGACCAATGCTCTGTCTTTAACTCACTCCACTGTGGTAGTCTAAATAGTGAGTGATCTTACAAAGCTGTACCATATGTGCTGCTGCAATATAGAAACAAAATAGGGCAGGTTAAGAGAAGGCATGTTATCCTTAATGCTGATTTTTTTTCTTGCTTTTAAAAAGTAAAGTCAAAAACCTTCACATCACTGCCACTAGTTGAGGGCTACGTTGTGCTTATTTTATGCACAGTCATGTATTGAGGTTTGTGCATGGGGGAGCTCAGGTGCGGGGGATTGCACTTCAGGGAATGACAATTCTTCCCAGAGCTCCCTTGGGTGCATAGGGTGTTTACCGGCTACACTGTGCTAATGACTCCACTGGTGCGTCCCTCCATCCTGTTTCACAGACCAGTGTGGAGGGGTGATAGTGCTACCGCCTTGCCTTCTCCCTACCCCTTTTGGGTTCTGGTCATTGTTCGGAGTCGTAGAGGAAGCAGACTCTCTACTCCCATGAGTTTTAAGTATTGCCTTGTTGAGAAAAGTTCTTGCCACTGTTTGCTTTATACTGTTTGGCATCTTGCCTTCCCAAAGGGAAGCATTAAGAATCTCTGTCAAAAATGGACCAAAAACCTCTCCAGGGGCTTTCATTAGCCATGAAGGGCATGTGTTTGTTGTACGTAATGGAGGATGACCACAGCTCTTTTAGCAAAACGTCACCTAGGAAAATTGGATTAAACTGCCAGCAAAGTTGGTGCACTTATCCCCTCCCGCTCTGAAGCCTCTCTTTCAGAATTGGCCTAACTGACCTTGTTCTGACTGACTTACTCTTCTAAATAGATTAAAACTTCTTCATAGATGAGAATCTCCATAGAAAATTATACATTAGGCACAAACAGAACATCATCTTTCAGAGCCCATTCTGACTCACATCGAAGTCAATAGCGAGACTCCCAATGATTTCAATGGCAGTAGGGGCTTTGGTTTGTGAAAAAGACCTTCTTAACTCATTCGTGCTTAAAGGTGTCCCATGAGGGGCAGATCTTTCACCCTCACTAAAGTAATATAATATTTTAAGGGTTATATGAGTCATTTTTGTATTTGTTCTCAAGCTCACGCGCCTTTTGATCTTTGACTCAAACTCAGGTAGGTAATTTCACTGTGCATTTGTTATGCCATAAACAGCACTCTTTCAGATGTTTCTCACCCATCGCTGTACCACTCCTCTCTGTTAAAATATAGAAGCTTATTTTGTACACAATGTGATAGATTAGCAAACAAAACAGCTTTAAAACCAGATATGCATTGATCCCCTCTCTATTCTGACATTTAGAATAAAATTTTGCCTTTTGTGGTTCCTGAATTGCATTAGGGTAACGCTACTAATTTATTATTATTGCCATGTAACATTTGTATCATGGTGGTACCTAGAGACCTCTGTCAAGTTGAGGCCCCATATGCTAGGTATCGCACCAACATATAATAAGGCTAGTCCCTACCCTCAAAGATTAGATCACAGGACCTAACAGGTGGGTGAAAAAACAACTGAGGGGAGGGATCAGGGTACCAAAAATAATAGGGCTGTTTTGACACAGAATAGCATTTGTGCAATTCTTAACCAAGCAATAGCAATATTCACTGTTCTCCCTACTTGGCTAGCTGTTATCAGATTGTAGGATTTTTTCAGTTAGATTACTTCAGGTTTACACCAGCAAAACAGAGCAGAATGTGGCCCATTGTGTACATAACCCTGGATGCTGCCATAACATAGATGCTATTATTTCAGAAACCTAATGGACCTATGAGTCCCAACGACGCCTGCACAGTGGGATCTATGAACTGCAACTGACACCAGTGTTTGCTTATTTTGGGGGGTTTGGTTTTTTGTTTGTTTTCCCGGTGGTACGGCCTGTGGTCAAATCTGTAGTCTGTTTCCCCACTCTAAACAATCCTCTCCATTTTTAAATACCTCTGAATGCTCTCTTGATAAAGAACTGTGTGCATCATTTTGAAATCACCATTTCGTGGGATTTTGTGGCTCCCATGAAATTCTGTAAAATCTGGTGTACAATCCCTGGGGAACACACCATTTTCTAAATTCCAACAGTCTGAGTGCAGGACTGAGTCTTGTCTAGCCTATATTTGGAATGTGAACACGTCAGCCAGTTCAAAGGGATTCATTCCCAGCTGTGCAAAACTCAGTAGTTTCAGATCGCAAGATTCAACAGAACTGTTTGTAGTGTTCACACCTTTATAGGGCTCATGGCTTCTCACTCAGGGGTATTGCTTTGAGTTTAGAAATGGGCTGAAACCCAGAACTCAAAATGGAACTCCCCTGAAAATACCATCCTGTGGTTTCTAACCAAAACCATAAGCCAGGCTACACACTAGAAATTCAGTCCAGGTCTGTTGAAAATTTCACTGATATTCATGAACATTGAGGTGAACCTGGCTTTGATCTTGGGTTCATAACAAAATGTCACAATAGGCCTGATCCAAAGCCCATTAAGTCAGTACTATAGAAAGACTCCCACTGACCTGTGTAGTCTTTGGACCAGTCTCCCCCTCCCCCCCCCCACACACACCATGAAAGTTGCATGCAGCTCTACTAGCTATCTATAATTTTTTCCTTTCTCAAAAGTTCACACTTTTTTTCCTTAAGATTGAAAAAACAACAACCACAAAATCCTTTCAAAACTATTTTAAAGACACCTGTTTTCACCCCTGTGCAATGAACAAATAGCTAGCTTATTTTTCTAACTCATTTTTTGTTTGAAAATCCAGCTATCAAGCCTGGCAGCTTGTGTGCCACATGTATCAACTGGAGCAAAGTTGAAACAGCTGAATTTTTTTTTAATTCCCCAAACTGTGGTTTATAATGGGGATATATGTTATACGGAGGTACCATTTTCATGTATACCATTTATCATTTAATTTTATAATGGAGAGAGCTTTTCAACCTTTCTTTTCTTTGCCTCCCTCCTCAGCTGTTGAAGATAACATTACTTTGTACCATTCAGCATCAGTAAATAATTGTGAAACTCACTGGAATTGTAAAGTTTTAAAGAGTTGTGGAGGTCTTTAATTGTAAATTACTTTTGACAGGACTGCTATGCAAAGACCTGGCTCATCCCAAAGTGATGCTAGTTGGCAAGCCCTTACTGCTCCCTGGGCAAAGAAACATGTGGAAGGAATTGTTCTTTTACATTTCACAGCTTGTCATTTCCTCTGCAGGGCAACCTTTGACCTCTTGGAGAGATCCTGACACCCATAAGGGAAGTATTCCCACTGTTGTAAAGGAAGTGGGAAAGCAGTTTAATGCTGTGAAAGGAAGGGAAGAGTGTGTGTCAAAAGAAACTGGGAGGAAAAGAGAAGAGAAGAGTTTAAAATGTTTCCAGCAGGTTAGACTTTCTATCGCATTATCTAATTTACTAAACGTTTGGAAACAGACCTGCTTACATTTGTTTTTAAAAAATCCCTCAAAACTCTCAATGATATCACCTCTCAATTATTTCACTAGGCCGAGGAGGCAATGGATGAGTTTAAATTAAAAGTGAAGGATCAAAAGAAGCCTCAACAAAAAGGTACAAATGTGGTTTGCTTCTCTGTTTAAAATATATCAGTTGGCCAAATGTGTTAGTAATTACAAGGTGCGTGTGGAGTGCACTGACAACATCTGATTATGTTGGGTATTTCTGTGACATTTTTACATCCTTTCATTTTATTTGGTCATTTATATTCATGGGTCACTATGTTCTTTTTTCTCTCCTGCACCAGTATTCCTGGCAATGTCCCTTGTTCACTGGGCTGAATAAACATATATGTGTGTGCAAGTCCATATTCATATTGGGCAGTGGTTTTTCACTGGGATGGAGGACTATCCATAAAGGCAAGGAAGTTGTGTGTTACATTGTCACATTTTATTCCAAGTAAAAAATCATTGGCAGGAAGGTAGATAAGTGAGCGAAGCAAAGATGGGATGCAGAAGCCAATCTGCAAATAATTGCATGAATGAAAATCGCGTCTGTGTGTTCAGGAGAAGGTATTATAATCTTTTACTTTAGGAAGTCAACACTCATTTCCTGCCCTCACCCCTCGAAAACCATCAGAGCAATCCGGCCCCACAACATCTTTGTTATTCCAGTCAGAAACCAGTAGGATTAAAAATTGATATTTGTGTGAGTGGCAAAAGTTTCTGTTGGAGAGGTGACATGTATACTTACAGTTGACTTATGAAGCAATGGTGAAGAGACCGAGGGCTTTCATCATAGCATTCCTCACTATACTGCTGCTGTGGTACTTTGGCTTCTTACATGCTGCGTGTTTCTGTTTTACTGTTACATACTGATGTAAAAGTAATTACATGGGGAAAAAACCCAACAAGCTACTTCCATTAATAATTCCTTGCAGGCATCATTTTAAAGGGAACAAAGTGACACTTTTGAGATGAAGAATATTTGTCCTTCTTGCTTTGTAGCCAGGGGTCCCACACAGGTAGGGTCTCAGATGGCTGAAACAGGCTGTTTCCTTCTCTTTCTCTCTCAATCCACTCCTCGTATGTTCAAGATTGGATTAATTCATACAAATGGGGGCAAATTCTGCATACACTAACAATTTACAACACTAATTGAAATTCTTCTGTTTTTAATATGCTTGCAACCCCATTGATTTCCCTCATTGTGTTGTAGAAGCAGGATTTGTCTATATTGCATGATCTGTTCTATTACTCAAGTAATAACTTACCTTAGGTAGTCGCGTCCATGTCTTTTGTCCCACTCCTGGGTGTCATGCCTCTAAAATCCATGCCTCCAGAACTGAAAGAACAGTTGTGGAAACCAGAAGACGCTGGGCCTGATCCTTTTCCGACTCACACCAATGTAAATCAGGAGTAACTCAATTAAAAAGTCAATGGAGTTAAACTGGTGAAAATGAGCATAAGTAAAATCAGAATTGGGTCATATGTAGAGCTGGGCAAAACTTTTTGCAAAACACGTTTTTCTTAAGTGAAATATGCAGATTCAATGACACCAAAACATTTTCAAATTCATGCTGATTTTGCTGAATTGTTTGTTTAGAAAAGAAAGCTTCAAAAATCAGAAAAATCAAAATGTTTTGCTTTATCATTTTCTAAACAAAACATTCTGATTTTTTTGGTTCAAAATGACTGTTTGTTTCAAAACTTCCTTTACTTTTATTTTTAAAAATTCAAAAATGTTTAAAAATGCTCAAAACCTCAGCAATATGTTTGTTTTGTCAAAATGAAATATTTAGTTATACCCCAAAACAAAATTTTGATCAACTTTTCAATGTGCCAAACATTTTGAATATTTTTGTTTTCCATCCAGCCAAAACTATTTTTATTCAACTTTTCAAAATTACCAATGAACTGAAAAATCAGTTTTTCACCCAGCTCTAGTCATATGGAGAGCAAGCATTTTCTAGCTGAGGACCATCCTGTTTCTTTTTTTCCATATTTTTAACTTTCAAAAACTGTTCCTCAGAATGCTATGTATCTTGACTGTTTCGCTTGCATCAAGTAAGTCACCTTTGTTTTTCTCATCTTATATCTTTCATAGAGGTAAAAGTGTGTAATAGTCACCTCAATTTTAATCAACTGTGTCTTCTGTTGGGACAGTCCCTGATTTGCATTCACTGCACAGACTCCCTGCACATCTCTCAGCAGCATGAGAGCTTACACTGTTAGGTCTTCAAGAGAAACCCTCAGATTGGAACTCCCAACTAGAAAGTGGAATACTAGTCACAGGAGATTCCTGACTCACTCAACCCAGAGGGTAACATCCATCAAGCACAGCACATTGTGTGCAGATGGGAGTGAAGGATGTATTGCTTCCAACAGGGAATAAGGAATCAAAATATTTCTTTCGTTACCAAGGCTTATCCATAGGCATCTCCTCCTGGAGGCATGGGGTACAGCTGATGCCCGATATGCACGACTAAGCAGCAAAATCATTTTAGCTTTGACCCTCTCTTCCCTTTCCACCCCAGTTTTAAAAATGTGGATCCCCATGCATGCTGAGGAACTTGATATAGGTGAAGTACACTTTGTGTCCCAAATTAGGTGTGAGATGTGTAGAATTTAAACTGGCTCTTCAGTACTTTATATCACCGAGATCAGAGATTGCCCCCCAGCATTATGAAGGTCTAGAAATTAACTTTGTCTGACCATTCCTCTCTGAGTCCAGGTGTTACTATTAACATGTCCAGTCTACATTGTCAGCGAAAAAGTGTCATCAGTTCATTTTTTCACTTATTCAAATGTACACCATTACTTTTATTCTGGAATCTGCTAGAGTTCTTAGTAAGAGCACTTGGTCATAGATTTATAATAGTGTGGCTGAAATATATTTTTTACTGTCTTAATCAGAGCCTAGCAAAATTGTACTTCTCCAACTTCGTACATGTATTTTTGAGAACATAGAAATTTCACATCAGCAGTTGAACTTTAGCATAGTGGTAATATTTGTCCTTGCTAATTCTATTTTGTGTTATGTTCTCTTCTTCAAATTGTTCATATATATTGGGAACTGTATTGTGTGCCCCTAACTGTCAGGAGCAGAATGTATTTTGAGTCAATTTACTGAGTCACTGCTAAGTGGTATATCTGGAAAAAGTTGACACCTTTGACATTTTCTAAAATAGCAAAAATAACAGTATTTAAGGGCATGATTTATGGATGCTGTGTGTCAAAAGAATTTCTGTGTTATTATGGTTTGCAGTATAACTGTTCCAACTATTTCAACCATCAAATTGCTGATATGGTGACTAATTAGTGCTTTATTAGTGTTTTTGTGGTCAATTATAAAGTGTTATAAAAAAGCAAAATGCAGTTTAATAAAGAAGAGCTGTGCAATTCTTGTTGTTTCCTTCTTGGAGCTACTTTGTTTGTGTGTGGAAGAATTTTTTTTACATAGCTCAGTTTTTATAAGACACATTTCCCTCCAGTAACTAAGAACAACTTCTATGATTAAAAAGTAGACTGGAGCCTTGAGATGTCTTTCTGATTGCTGGCCTCTATTAAAAACTTCTTAAAATAATAGATAGATTTAATTCCTCAAGCCAAAGAAAAATTATATCATCTTAAGTATTTTCCATATTTATTATATTGATTTGACTTGGCTGCAGAAAAAAAAAAAGGAAGCAAAATCTCTTGTATTGCAAGTTTTAAATGTACCAGGCTAAGGTTTACTTAATTAGAACCTCCAGGCAACAAAGGAGCCCTTTTTTAAATTCTGTGAATCTTAATATGCTAAATAATGCAAAGCTTCGACTCTTCAAGCATGAGACACACATCTGGCAGCTTAACATTTAAATTACAGGAAAAAAAACACTTCAGTTGTAATTTTCATGAAGAAAAGAATGGGAAATGTATTACAACTAAATTTAATTTCTTTTTAGATTTTTCATCCTGTCTAATTGCAAGCATTTTGCCGTCTTTCCCTTTATTTATTTATTTTGATACAATTTTTTTTCTTTGCATTTTCTTGATCTTTAATTTGAGCTGCTTCTCACTGTTTCAGCCACTGAAGAATTACATTGTGTTTTTACTTAGCAAAAATTGTTCAGAGGAATCTATCTTAGGTTAAAATAATGAGCTCACTGGTACAGAAAATAAAGAGAAGAATGGAATTTCAAAGCCTCACAAATAAAATACAACAGGCACGAGACATGACTAAACAACAATTTTGAGTTGGTTCCAACTCCAAGTTTTAATTTTTTAATATTATTGTTTTCTTTATTTTGCTATTTTCTGGCTGTTTTTATGCAAAAGTAATTACTTCCTTTTTTTCTTCATATTTCTCCAAAGAACATTGACAAATTGTTAATTATTTCTGCAAAGTTCATTTGGTAAACCATTAAAATATGGCAAATTAAAACATTAGCACAACAAAGAAAAAAACAATAACCTATAATTCCAAGTGTGTAGTCTGGAAATATATATTATCATCCCCCATATACACTTTTAGTTTATGTTTATATGTGTGTGTAATATATGCAGAGTACTCATAATATACCATCTATATCATGATATAGTATATGTGTGTGTATGTATGTTCATAGTTTGTGTGTGTGTGTGTGTATGTACACACACACACACACACACACACACAAACACACTATGGGACAGGTTCTTAATGGATGTAAGTTATCATAGGTGACTTCAGTGGAACTATGACAATTTACACCAGCTGTGGATCTGATCATGTCATCATGAGCTCTGTGGGTGTGTGTAAATATATAAAACTCTATACACACACAAACACACGTACATCTGCATGTGCAAATAAATTACTATGTAAGTGCAGCGTATGTATATACTGAGCTCTCAAACACACTTGACTAGCCACTACTGGTTGACAATAGGAGTAACTGAAAAAATGTAAAAATAATAATTAAGCATATCATTTGTCTGCCCTGGTTGTGTTGTGTCTTTCCAGTTTCACCCCTAACTTCTCCCCTTCTCACCAGTGCTCAGAGTAATGTGGTTGGAGATTTTTGTTCACATTGCTGGTCACTGCATATGCCACCATGTTACATTCAAGCCCTTTTGC